CTCACCAATTGGGTGAAGGTATTTTGTGCCGTGACTTCACCGAAAAAGGAATAACAATAGGGTAAAATCTATACTATAAAGTTAAATATGGCGAAAACACCTTTTTTTTTATTTTCGCATTGATTTTGAATACATAAAAAAAATTAGGAATATATTTATACCTTTTTATAAAAATAATAATGAATAAATAATTTAACTTATACTATTTTTTTACATCATTAGGTACGTTACTTTAGTCAAACTTTCAAATAGCACGAGAATCTGAGACTTTGACATCAAATAGATTAATAGCGATGATCATACTAATTATGTGATACGAGAATTGGAAAAGGCTCCAAAATCGTAACAATAATGAATTTAAAATATTTACATAATTGGTATTTACATAAAGATTGTTAAATAAGCATCAAATAAACATGTATATAACTTGCTCTAAGATTATCAATGAAGAATATATTAAAACAATTAAGAATATATATAATAACGGTACTTTGGTAATATATACATATATATCTCTATAATAGGAGGTATTTTAGGACCTAAAACAATGAAGAAGATATATATATATATATATATATAATAGGTGGCACTTTGAAAAAAAATTGATTGAAAAAAATTTTGCGAAGAAATTAAAAAATAAAATATTTTTCGATTTTTAAAGCACATATTAAACTCCCATTTAATAAATTAAATTAAAATTAATAAATTATGTCTGAAGTAGGTGGAAGTAACACACAAATACATGAAATCCATGATGCCATTCATATCGATTCTCCAAGCCCTAGCAGAAGAGTTTTGGGTATTTTCGGTGGAATGTGGTTGAACGTAAATCTAATGATCGGCAGTGGTACGTATGAGTTTATAATTTATTATAATATCTGTGTATACGTTTAAAAGTTAACAATTTAAAATTTTTTAGGCATTTATGCAACTCCCGGTAAAATTATGAATTTGACGGGGAGCGGAGGAATGACTCTAGTCCTCTATATCTTGGGTTTTTTTTACGTTATGCTTGGAAGTCTTATTTATGTAGAAGTAAGAATTTTCATTTTATTTTATTTTATTTTAATTTATTTCAGTTTTAACCGTTTTCTTATTTTATTAGCTTGGAAGTACTATTTCGGAATCGGGTAATTGATCTTTTATTTGAATATGTGAACGTGGTGAATGCGTTAATTTATTTTATTTTTGAAAACTTTAGGTGGGGAGCAGATATATTTTGAAAAGGCGTTTCCTAAGCCCAAAAAAATGGTGGCGTATATTTTCAGTTTTATCTCAATTGTGTAAGTGTGAATAATTAGTTATTCTTAAAATTATACATCTTTCAAAAAAAAAAAAAATCTTTTAATTTTTTGATTGATAAAAATAAAATTTATTTAGTCTCGCCAAACCACTCGGAATTATTTCTATCAGTATAGCAGCTTCTCAATATATTTATTATGCAATTAATAAAAATGACGATGAATCTCCTTTAGAAGACATACATAATATTGAATTTTGGTATATTTTTATTCTTATTTTTTATCTTTTTTAAAAAAAATAATCAAATTCACCTCACATGATTTTTTTTAGGAAATACCGTTTAATAGCATTTGGCATTATATCAATTGTTACTGTTTATCATCTATTCAGTAACAGAGTTGCTGTATGGATAAATCAGATATTAGCTGTCATCAAAGTATCAACGTTGTTGATCGTGGTGATTATTGGATTTACCAGAATAAAAAACCACCCAGAAAGATTATCGTCTAACTATCTTTTTGGTAACGCGCGTGGAATAGAATATTATAATCATTATGCTAGTTCAATGTTAAAGGTTTGTTTTAGATAATTAATTATTTTTTTTTTAAAGAAACAGTAATTTGAATGTTTATTTTTCCTTTTCAAGGTCCTATTTGCTTATTCAGGATGGAATACGCTTAATTGTAATTTATCATTATTATTTATTTTATTTACTATTATTATTTTACTTCTAATATTATATTTTAATCTTTTTTTTAGATTCTTTGGATGAAATGCGTCATCCAAAGGAAAGATTAAGGATTTCCAATCCTGCTAGTGTCCTCATCGTTGGCATCCTTTGTAAGCATTTTTATTTAATGAAATTTTAATAATAACATCAATAATACTAATAACAATAATACCTCTATTATTTTAGACTCTCTTTCGATTCTTGCTTTAATAGCAACGGTGCCTGAGGATTATATTAAAGATCCATCAAATTCTCCTGAAGTTATTAGTGTAAAATTAGGAGATGAAATTGGTTCAGCAGTTGCAATGTCAATCCTAATTGCAATTTCTTGTTTTGGTGCAGTAGGTTCTGGTATATGGGGTAATTCAAGGCTCATAGCTTCCGTGTCTAAAGCCGGATTTATCCCAGTATTCTCTCCAGTTTTAAAAGGATTTGATGAAAGATGGTTTACTCCATTCAATGCTTTAATTTTTCAATGGTGTTATTTAACCATTATAATTTTCCTTCCACTGAACAAGCCCTACGATGTGCTTGTAAACACAGCACAAAATACTAACATTATTGTTTATTTTATGTGTGCAATAGGACTATTAGTAAGTTTTCAAATTTATTATTTATCACAATATAATGATCTTAAATCTCATAATATATTTATTTAAAGGTTTTACGTAAAACTGAACCAGAACTACATCGTCCATTCAGAATCGATAAAACATGGGTTTACGTTTTTATGTTATTTTCACTAGCTATATTTATTGGAACATTCATTCCCACCCCAGATACCTCAAATTATCTTGAAAGATTTAATTTTATACTCATTATTATTGTTATTATATTTGGATTAATGTGTTGGGATTTAGTTTATTATCGTCCAAAGAAAAATTCAACCCGTCTAGAAATGGCAAATGTTGTAATGGGAATGTAAAATCATTATTCTTGAGATTGTATTAACAATATTTTTCTTATATGTTATATGTATATTTGTATTATATTATTATTTTATATGTACTGTATAAATATTATTATTTTTTATATTTAGAAGATTAGATAAATTACTTGAATTATAAAAATAATAAAAATCTATATCCAAAGGGAATCTATAAACTGCATTTATCGTGATAGTGAATTTTTTATGGGACAACTGCTTCTAATTTTTACCTTCACTCGAAAATCTAAAACAGATACGTTTAGAATTGTTTTTAAATTGTAAAACGAACGAGAAAAATGATAAGACTATTATGTATGTTATTTTCTATCTCATTTAAAATTTATTTAATGATAATCAAAAATCATTCTGGTGAGATTTATATTTTTTGGCAGCATATTCTGCATTTACGGTAATTCCATTTCTAATTCACATACATTCCTTTCTTGCAAACTTTCTTATCATAATTGTATCAGCTGTATCTAAACCGGGAACAATATGTTTCAAACCCATGAATAATTACAATCTTTTCGAGTATAGCACCTCAACATCATTTAATAAAATTAAGTTCACAATGGAATTTAAGATCAAGATACATTTTTATCTCTATAAAGTAATTTTTTTATAAAAATAAAAAAATAAACCGATAGTATATTATTTTTATAGTTATTTTCATGTATTCCTCTTTTAAAAAAGAGTTATAGTCTATTAAACGAGATGATTTTTCCAAAAAGTTACAATAATAAAACTTGCTCAATTTCAAAATTAGAAGAAAAACTTTCAATTTTACTGCATCATTTAAATCGACAATAATGAAAATAATGAAGCTCTAGAAACTTTGAAGTAAATAAATTAAGCAAAATTTAACAAGAAATGTAATAAATATATTATAGACTGAAAAAATTAAAGCAGCACAAGATGAAAGAGATAGAGCTTGTATTTTATTGCTAGAATATCTCGAAGACCTATGTGAATTAATAGGAGAAAGAACTATTAATCAACAAAAAGATGCAAGGTGGAATTTAATAAATAAACTTTTAATAGCGTTTAATAATTAAATAAATATAATAATATCGAAATTCGTTGTAGAGGAATGAGTAGTCCTCTATATCTTGGTTTTTTTTTATGCTTCGATTGGAAGATTTATTTACTTCGAAGTAAGAATTTTCATTTATTTTCGTTTATTTATTTTAATTTAATTTTATCATTTTTCACATTTTATTAGCTTGGAAGCACTATTTCGGAATCGGATAATTGATCTTTTATGTGAATATGTGAACGTGTATGCAATTCATCTATTCAGTAACAAAGTTGCTGTGTGGATAAATCAGATATTGTTGATCGTGGTGATTATTGGATAAAAAACCACCCAGAAAGATTATCGCCCAACTATCTTTTTGATAACACGCATGAAATAGAATATTATAATAGTTATTCCAGTTCAATGTTAAAGGTTTATTTTAGGAAATTATTTCTTTTTTTAAAAGGAACAGTAATTTGAATATTTATTTTCTTTTTCCAAGGTCCTATTTGCTAATTCAGGATGGAATACTCTTAATTGCAATTTATCATTATTATTTATTTATCTTATTTACTATTACTACTTTATTTCTAATATTTATATTTTAATCTTTTTTAAATTCTTTGGATGAAATGCGCAATCCACAGAGAAGGTTAAGAATTTCAAATCCTGCTAGTGTCCTCATCGTTGGCACCCTTTGTAAGTATTCTTATTTAATGAAATTTTAATAATAACATCAATAATGCTAATAATAATGCCTCTATTATTTTAGACTGTCTTTCGGTTCTTGCTTTAATAGTAACGATGCCTAAGAATGACTCATTTACTCCTATAATGATGAGTGCAAAATTAGGAAGAGAAATTGGCTCAGAAGTTGCAATATCAATTTTAATTACAATTTCTTGTTTCGGTGCAGTAGGTTCTAATATATGGGGTAATTCGAGACTCATCTTCTGTAGCTAAAGCTGGATTTATCTCAGTATTCAATCCAGTTTTAGAAAAATTTAATTAAAAATGGAATACTCCTTTCAACACTTTAATTTTCAATGGTGCTATTTAACCATGATCCATAGAAAATCCCTACAATGTATTTGTAAACATGGCTTCAAATACTTACATTATCTTTTATTTTATGTCTGCAATAGGACTATTAGTAAGTTTTAAAATTTATTGTTTATCACAATATAATATATTTATTTAAAGATTTTACGTTAAACCGAACCAAACCGATATCGTCCATTCAAAATCTATACATCATGAGTTTACCTTTTTATATTCTTTTCACTCGCCATATTTATTGGGGTGTTCATCCCTGCCCCAGATACCCCAAATTATATAAAATTTAATTATATGCTTATTATTATTGTTATTATACTTGTGTTAATATGTTGGTATTTTAATATATTATCGTCCAAAGAAAAATTCAACCCGTCCAGAAATGGCAAATGTTGTTGTAATAGGTTAAGTTATTATTAAATTTTCTTATATATTATATGTATACTTGTATTATGTTATTATTTTATATATAAATATTATTATTAGATTGGGATTATAAAAACAATAAAAATAATAAAAATCTATTTTCGAAAAGTGACTATAAACTACGATAGTGAACTTTTTTATGAGACGCATAAAAAATTAAGTGTATTTTATTGCTTTGAACGAAATTTTACCATCACTCGAAAACCTAAAACATATATGTTTATAGAATTTTTTTAAATTGTAAAACATAAAAAATAAACGAGTCTATTATGTATATTATTATCTATCTTATTATTTAATGAACAAATTGTAATTCGTGTAATTTTAGACAAGAACAAATCCAAGTTTACAGTAATTCCATTTCTATATAAATTCATTCCTTTCTTGCAAATTTTCTTATCATAATTGTATCAATTGTATCTAAACCGTTGAACAATATGTGCAAACTTGACCGTAAATAATTACAATTGTCTTGTGTATATCTTTTTACAGCACCCAATATCATTCAATAAAATTAAGTTCACAATGGAACTTAAGATAAAAATACATTAATGTCCAGCAGCTATAAAGTTTCTTCCAAAAATTATAAATTTCTTGAACTGTAGTTATCCAAATTAATTTTGAAGAAAGAAATTACCTTGCTGGTATAAATTTTCATTCATTAGTTCTCATACCAATGAGCATAATTATTTTGGACAAAAGTTTACTTTATCCTTTATTAAAGGCGACATAAATAAAGGATTAATAAATGAAAATTGTTGTTGTGTTATTATCACATTATAATTGGATTATTTTTTATTATTTGAAAATCCTGTTTCTACAACTCTTTTAATATGCAAAGGCATACTTTTACTTTAATATTTTCCAAACAAAACATGCAGCTGAGATCTGAGCAAAGTTAAAAAACCCCAAGTTCAAGTTCATGAATTTTAAACTGTTAAGAAAAAAAAAATTAAAATAAATATACTAATGGAAATATATCATCAATCACTAGTCAAGTACAAAAGAATCGCTGTACCGAATGGTGATTCCTATAACATACACTAGCTAAATCGACCGTCCTATATTATAAATCAGGAATTTCTTTTTGCGCCACCTATTCTTTTGTGTTTGACCTGTGAATTTCAGCGTATACAATGTATAATTCAAACTTTAGATTGATTATAATTTAATAAAAACTATATATACATTGCATCAATACCAACTTCGCATATTTCCGAATGAGAATTTTTCAATGTATTCCCATAATTCAGTTAGAAATTTAAATGCTTTGGATACATCTTTTAAAATATAATTAGATGTAATTTTTTCTTTAAACTATTTTTGAGCAGAAAGAATAGAATATTCATTTTGTTTATATATATTTTTACCAAGTTCTGTTCACTAGAAGTGAATTTGTTTTTGACAAATATTAATACTTAAGTCATATTCAACAAGCCTTTTGTAAATTTTTCATGGAAGTAAATCAATATTATCCAATATAAATCTTTTAATTTCAGATGAATTGCAATGTTCGACCATACAGAATATAAAATGTGATGTATTTCTATTAGAAAATGTAGAATTTTCATAAAAAGTAATTTTAATAAACTATTACAAGAAAATGTTCTATTGGTTAACTATCAATAAAATTTTATTAAATCGACTTGTACCTTGATTTTTTGTTTTCGAAGTTCATCTATCACAATGTTTCTTAATATCTAAATTTTTTTTTTGTTTTTTTACTCTCTGAGAGCAGTAATAATAATGAGTCACTGATTTTGGTTTTTTTTTGCGTTATGAAATATATGATATCTAAATATCATATCATAATTATAAAGTCAACTTTAAATTGACAATATAAATAATAATTAAGTTAACTTACACATATATTCGTCTACATCAGATATTATTTCTATAATACAACCAGCTTTTTCTTTAAATTATTTTCCAAATAATATTATTTAAAGTACAGAAAACTTTAAATTCACATTTATTTTCTTGTTTTTCAAAATAAAATCATGAAATCATCAAAATTCAATTGATGTTTGATTACCTTCTACAGAATTTTTCTTTTTATAGGTTGATAAATTTCCATTTATGGGGGATGTCTAAAGCGGAGATAAATCATATGATCTTATGTGATAATAAATTATATGATGTGATATTATCATCATTATGCGTAACATTGATGACCAATAAAATAAACTATTCCTTTTTTTTTCTTTATTGTTCTATTTTTTCCGTATTTTTATTTATTTACTTTTTTTTACGTGTTATTATACGCAGAGTAGATTAAACAGACTTTCTTACTTCTTTGTTATTTTTTTTATTTAATTTTTTTTCGGCAATAAGAAGTTTAAAAATCTTTCACCTTGCCTTTCATCTTTCTTATTTATCATCACTTCTCTATCATTTTTTTTTCAGCAATAAAATATGGAAGAAATAGAACCACCTGTTACCAATTCGTCACTAACAAGTCTTACACCAGAAGAAAAATGGTGTTTATTATTTAATGTAACTTGCTCTTTAGAAATCCCAATAGAGGATTTTGACAAAAATTGGTGGCCATTAATTTCAAATATTTGGATGATATGGGGCTCATATAAACAAAAAAATGGGGATGTGCGTAAAGATTTTGTGTACCGTTTGATGAAACATCGAGAATCAAGTATCAGAAAAAAAGAAAATATTCCAAACGAAAAATGCCGAATAACAAAAACGCGGCTGTCCGGGTTGTGTTGTGCCAAGATTAAAATTCTATGGATGGTTTCATTGGGAATAGTTAAAGTTGAACCCTATAAAGACTCTCCTAATCACACTCATACCATATCAGAATCAGATAAAGTAAAACGATCTCAAGCTATACGAACCTTGGTAGAAATAGAAGCCATAAAGAACTATTCACCTCCTGCGATTACTGTAGCCGTTAAAGAGTATGCAACGAAATTGGGTCTTGGTATAAGTGTGTCTGAGCTGAGTCGTAAAGAAGTAACTAATGTTAAATATAAAATCTGTGGACCCTTGGAAGCCCACCTCCTTTGTAATTCTGACTTAAAATCAGATATTCTAAATTCTATAGCCTTTTTGATAGAGAAAGGTTACCGTGTTAAAAGTTATTACGTTTCTCATCAGTTCACTAAGGGTATCGTATTTGCACATCCAAAACAATTTGAAAAACTTCAGTATTATGGATGATTAACGCTTATTGATTCTACCCATAAAACAAACAAATATGATTGGCGTCTTTTTTCTTTATATGTTCGCGATACATACGGATGCTGGGATGTGGGTGCTCACTTTTATGTAAGTAACGAAGATTGTAATACCATTTCACAAGCCCTAAAAATAGTTCGTAGCTATTGTAATTGGTCTCCCCGCTATATTCTTTCTGATCAAAGTAGTATTGAAGCTAAAGGTATCAAAAAAGCTTTTCTCGGGATAAGTGCTGAGAAACAAGAGTGCGAAATAATTCTTTGTGTTGTCCACGTTATGAGAATATGGATGACAAAAATTTATGAAAAAAAAACTCGCAACACAATGAATGCAGCAATACACAAAAGAACAAAATTGGTTGCGAACAGTTAATTCAAGATGCTATCAATAACTGTCCCGTTTCCGCAATTCAAAATTATATCAAGCGAAATTATGCAAAAAATATACAGCAATGGGTGTTGTGGGCACGCCAGCATTCACCTCTTCTTTTGCAAGTTACAACTACAAATCCATTGGAATCGTATCATAGTGAATTGAAACAATTGATATCTCCGTTGCACGGTTTAATCAGTATGATTATTATTATTTTTTTTTTTTAATTTTTGTCCTTATCATTTTCCTTTTTTTTTTGTCCTATCTTTATTTTTTCGTCCTATTTTTTTTTTTTTTGTATTTCTTCTTTTCTATTTAATATTTTTTATCATTTAATATTTTTTTTTCTGCCTATTCTATAAATATCTTTAAATTTTTTTTTCCGCCTTATCTTTAATCATTCTATTTTCTTTTTTTCTTCCTCTATTTTTTTTTGTCTTTTCTATTTAATTTTTCTAATTATAATTTTCTTTTTTTTATCTATTCTATTTAATATTTCTAATTATAATTTTCTTTTTTTATCTATTCTATTATCATTTTAATTATTCCATTTCGTTCTATTTTCTTTTTTTTCTCCTTTGTTCTATTTATTATTTTAACTAATTTCATTTCATTTGGTTTACTTTTTTTTTTGTTTATTATTTATTTTTGTTTGTCTTGGTCCTTTATATTTTTGTTCCACTTTCTTTCTCTCTTTATTTAGGTGCCGTACATAATGTCGTTGAAATTGATTGTAAAAAACGTTCCGATTCTGAAAGAGTTGCCTTCAACTTTCATACCAAAAAAATATCTGCCTACGGTATAGATAGTGATATTATTGAGGAAATCCATAAGTTTCCCTTCCCACTTCAACATCTGCTCATTAAAGAGGCTTGCTCAATAATGGACAGAATCGAAAAAGGTAAAGGACCACCTGGTTTGACCTCATTGAATTGCTATTGTCTGTTTCGAGTTTGATATATA